AAAAAAGCATTTAATCCGATTTACCGAGGATGCATTCCCAGTAACACACTCAACGCAACATTCCAGGAAGCGTTTGCATAAGTCCACTGTGTCACGTGTAGAATTCGTGTGCAATATTATTGCTGTTTATTTTGGCTGATTATTTAATACGAAAATAGCAAGTAATGGTGGCATAAAATATGGACTTGCAGACTAATAGACCAGCTTACAAAAAACGTTAGCAGTGATCTATCGGCAAAAGCAAATGGATTTCCAGTTACACGACGCAAAATTGCTTCCCTTTATGGCAATAACTTAATTCTAGTTCACAAACTAATGATTATTCTAATAAAGCTGCTGTAGCTAATATCAAATATTGTCAAATTCTTTCACAGTTTCAAAACTCAAAACGGTTTTTACTGAGCTGTCAGTATAAAAAGTCTCGTAAAATTGCATTCCGATTAAAATATGACCTAATTTATCTTCCATAATTGCAAATAAACGAGTTTCAGGAAGCAGCACAAAAGAAGATGAGGATGCGTCCGCTGGAACAACCGGCACCGTCTTTTGGCGAACGCTCTACTACGTGAAGAAAGTCTTGGAAGCAGCCATTTGTCTTTTCACACCACTTGGATTTGGAGTTTCACACAGATCTGCGGCGGCCATTCGGCGCCAGTTCACTGCTACTGCGAAAAATGTCTGGAATTCTTAATTAAATCTGGGGCCAAATTTGAAAAATTTTTTTGGGGACACTCGGAGATGACTCAGGCAGGAATGACCTAGCAAGTAGCAGCAACAATAAGGTGAAATAGTACCAGGCTGCAGCTTTTTTGACTCCACCCGGTCACGCCTTCACGTTTGACGAGACCGCAGTTCTCGGTAGAGGTGAAAAAAACGCTCGGTCCACTAGTGTTTCCCAGCTGACAGAACATGAAAAAAACGCAATGAATTCCGGCTTTATTTTTCTGCGTTGCACCTTTTTCCGGACAGAGTCATTAGCCGGGCGCAAAGAGAGAACCAGCTAGCCAAAAAAAATCCGGAAACTTATTACACCGAGGTGATGAAATCGCGGCAATTAACAAACATCACATCACATCCATCGTGCCATGAATAAGAACTGTTTTCTTTTGACCAGCTTTTTTTCAGTAGACTGGGTTATCCGACGCAAATTTGGGATACTAACGGTTCCATGTCCCTCGAGAACCAGATAGAATCAGCTTCATTTTGTTTCTGCTCTTTGGCAATTGCAGCGGTCCCTCTTCTCTTGGCTCCAGTTACCACAAGTGCTCACACGTGCGTATGCTTCAGACGGAGGTATTACCTGCCAATTTATGATTAACTGTTATCAGACCGTTATCTATGTGGTCTAAACTGTCGCAGCTAAAGGAAATAAAAAGTATAAACGATAGCCTTCTGCAAAATCCGTACATCCTTTTAATGCCTGAACAGGGTAAGGTGAGCCTCCCTTCCCTCCCGAAGTACGGTTGGACTTGCGCTAAATTCCACGGTGATTAGGGTTAGAGTTAAGACTGGATTTCCGTTCAAAACACGGGAATACATAAACTTCATGCAATTACACACAAGACCACTTGTTCGGCAAGGATTTTCATTCCCTTCTGTTATTGGATACTGAAGGATTAGGCCAAATTGAGGTTATATTTTCTGACATATTTGTCACG